CCAACATGGCGCCCGTGGAATCCAACAAAATCTTCCATGGGCTCAGCCATATGAACAATCCGTATTTGCTTCTGCTGCGATCGTTGGAGGGCTCCGTCAGTGAGCTGATCCCGACAAAGGAGTGGCTATTGCGCCAGTGGAGCCGCCCAGGCTTCAACCTGCGGGTCCTGAAAGCAACTGCCTTGTAGGTGAGATGGGATCCACTCTGATGTGGTAGATCCTGGCGAGTACCAAGCGTTCCTTAGCACCGACTTCATGCACGTGATGAGCGAGGGGGCGCGCCATGACACCGATGCCATAGCCAATAGCAGAAGGCAACGCCTGTCGCGCAAGCGTGGCCGATGCAGAGCTGGCCCGACGCACTCGCCGAAGCCTAGTGACACTAGATCGTACTTTCTTGAATTTGAGGGCCCTCCCAGAAGCGACCTCTACCCCAAGAACTTCCAAAGCAGACTGGTACTGAAAGCCCAAATTGATGAGTTTCTTGCAGACATGCTTCTCCAGAGAGGCCCGCCTAGAGGTAACTTTCAGTTTGTGTCGTGCTGGACGTGGCCCCATTTGCGCGAGCGCGCGAACGACCAGCTGGAGTGCCACACGTGCCGCACCATGCAGCATGCACATCCTTGAAAGTACCAGCTGTGCCTATTGCGGTACCATCAGCATGCAGATCAATACTGCGAGGGATGTACTCAGTGCGATTCCAAACCTCGTCGAGCGACGCAAGCACAGCAAGCTGCAAGCAGAACACGGCCGAGGCACGTCCGGTCCACGCGCCACGGGTAGCTCACACCGATGCCGAATTGCACGAATCCCGGTGACTCCCAGGAGAGCCTGCGAGCATTCGTGCTCACGCGAATGGCGAGCACAAGCAGTCGTCCTCGGCACCCATGAGCAATGCCAGACCGCATGAGTAACAGCCAGCCTTATGATGTTCCAACCTACTTTAGCCTTGACCACCAGAAGGAATTTCGAACACCAAGAAAGTACCGAAACTTGCGGGTTTTCACGTGTCAGGCCCTGGGAGGCGATACTCGTTCGACATTGTCTCGATAAGTTTCTGGGTGCTCGAAGTTATTTCTGGGATGTGGTCCTTACGTACGATGGGAGCAACATAAAGCCAGCCAGCCTTCTCGACACACTGCCCGATGACGATGAAGGCGCGCATGGCAGCTGGTGCATCTGGCTCGCTGCGGGGCGCGACCTCGGCCTCCGCCGAGACGCGCGCCGCGGCGTCAGCAATTAGTGGAGCGATGGGCGCCCCGGGCGAGGAAAGGCCGATCAAATTTCCCTGCCCATGATCTCGCCTCCTCCTCCTCCTCCTCCTCCTCCTCCTCTTCCTCCTACTGTTCCTCCTCCTCCTTCTGCTCCTTCTCCTCCTCCCCATCCTCCTCCGCCTTCTCCTCCTCCCCCTCCTCCTCCTCCTCCTCCTCCTCCTCCCCCTCCTCCTCCTCCTCCCTCCACATCCTCCGCCCCCTCCTGAAACGGGTCCTGAGGCTGTTCGCCGTGTTCGGGCTCGGGGCTCGACGCCGACTTCGATATTTTCCCCGACTCCCACAGATAGACGGCAGCAGAGCGGTTGGTCGGTGGCCTCCTGCTGGCTCGGTCGACAGGGCAGTGGGGACGCGGGCAAGCAACTGAGGCCAGGCACCCCAGGCTTCACGTAGAAACACCAGATGCCCAAGAAGCGGCACTCCTGCTTTCGACAAAAGGTTCCAGCGCCTCGGCCGAGACAGGTCGGCGCCGATGTCGGTCTTCTTGGGGAATTGGTTAGCAGCTTGGCGTAGGTCGGACATGGTGGGGGGAGGAAGTCGGGGCCCTGTGTCCAGGAGGTCCCTGAGAGCACCACTTATTTGCACATCGCGTTCCCCAGCTAGGCTGTCCCTCAGGCGGCCCCGTTCTCAATCTCCTGACAGTGTCTAAATCCGCACAGTCATGGGACGCACAGAGACATGCTAGTAATACTAGATGTCCTCCTTGGAGGCGCGCGTCCGACCCGAACATGTAGTATACCCATCTTGAAGTATATCGCTTCCCGAGCGGTGTGGCCATATATTATACTGATTTCTCGGCGCGCGCGCGTCGCCCCTGGGGGGCGTGCGACGCGCGCATAGTATCAGTACGGTACGTCGACTAAATGTTGCACCACTTAGGCGGGGGCCCAAATGGGTTCTTGAACACCCCGTCCGCCCCCTCTCCCCCCAACCTGATATTGGGGGCATGCGATGACGAGCCGCCCGGCGTTTCCCAGGCGATCGACAAAATGTTGCACCACCGAGCTGCTTCGGCGCCCCCCAGACCGTAGCCAACATTAGATGGTGGGTGTGGGGGGGGGGAGGAGATGGAAACGTCGATCATCGTCGATCTGAAAGCGGTGTCCGCCGTCTTCGGCACCAGGTGGTACAACCAGTCTGTCGATGCACCGCACGTTGTGGGGACGCCGTCGCGCAGAGCAAGCCAATCTCCACCCGCACGCTTCTCCGAGGCGGGAATTTAGACATGGCCACCGCCTGGAGGGTCAGTTTTCGGAGCCTCGGCAGGCGGTGGATGTGTATATGCCGCCCGCTGGGGCTCCGGGGCGTCGGTTCCCAGGCGGTGGAGATCTGCGAAGCTGCTGCCCGAGGCAGGGCCGCGAGCGCGCAGGCCATCGCGCCGGGCGCTGCGTTTGCGCGGGCGGGGTGCCCGGGGCCGGGAGCCGCGGGGGAAGCGCGGGCCGCAGGCCCGCCCCAGCTTGTCAAGTCGGGCCCGTGCCCGCTGCCGGGGGGGAGGGTTCAGAACGGATCAAGAGAGCATGGAAGCGTCTGGGGGCGAGGTTATCCGTACGTTTGAACATTTGTTTGTCATTTGTTTGACTACCTTTCATTTTTCGTCCAAAATCCGCCTGTAGGAGGACACGCCCGACCCAACCCCAGCTCCAGCTAGAGGGCTAGGAGGAGTCGGAGGAGGAGGAGGAGGAGGAGGAGGAGGAGGAAGAGCAGTGGTAGGAAAGAGCAGGAGCGTCTCGAGTTGGGCAGGGCTCTGGCCCGCAGGGGCAAACAGCACCTAGCCTTCCCATCCGGGAGTAGAGCGTGGAGCCATGCAGGATGCTTCCAGTGCCCTCTGCGGCTCCCTGTGAGCTCTCTTGGAGCTTGATTGGGGCCATTATGTCGTCTCTTCGGGGCGTTTGGGGTTGCGACCCTTGAATGTGCTTGAGTCTTTTTGGGGCATTATTGGAGACTTGCTGGGTGCCTCAAGAGCAATGTGAAGCCAATTTGGAAACATCTTCGGTTGTATGAGGGCCTCTGCGACGCTTCCTGGATCTCCTCAGAGGCGCCCAGAAGCGAGAAAGCGAGTGGAGCTGATTGAAAGATTTGTGTGCTTATGAATTGGGTTATGATTTGATCAAGTATTGAGAGTGCGTGCACCCAGCGTAGTTCCTCCCCCCCGAGTTGCTTCCCTCCTTTTCTCCTCTTCCTGCTTCCCCCTCTTGCGTGATAGGAATGTCAGAATTTTCCGTGCCGTCCGTGGCCTTGCATTGTTTTGAGGTACATTGCGGTCTTGTTACCCTTGACGGTCCTTTTGTGAGGTCTTCCATCAATGGTCGGTCGAACCATTGGGGCGCCCACACATCGCATCCAGATGCGTAGTATTTTCTCCGTCACGCTGTGATCCGGTCTAAATGATATTATGTTGGGCATGTTCGTATCTTCCTTCTCCTCTCCCCTCTCCTCCCGCTCGTCCCTCGGCCCCCCTTCTCTTCCGAGCGAGGATCTTCGTTTCGTCCGGGAGGGAAGGACGATGACGGTCGTGCGGCAGAACAGTTGGCCGATTCCGCATTCTTATTTCAGAAATTTGACATCGGTGAATGGGGCCGTCGTTGCCAAAAAACAACGGTTTGATTATGTGGCCAACTCGGGAAACTGTAGAATGTCTTCGAACAGGATATTGTTTAAAGATAGCGGCACTTAGCAGCACTTAGCGGCACGAGCGTTTGCGGTCCCCGGCGGTCTCACTCACGCGCCCGTGGTTTCACGGAGGTCGGCGACCCCGAGCCTTGATTTACATGTTCGTGGCCCAGATGGGGCTACACGGCCACGAAGTGCCACGAAATAGTAATTCTCGGAACCATTAACGGCCACTAAGTGCCATTGCATGGTAATTGTCGGAACCATTAGCGGCCATTAAGTGCCATTTCGTGGTAGATCTCGGGCTACTAAGTGCCACTAAATGGTATTTGAATTCTCGGAGCCACTAACGGCCACCAGGTGCCACTAAATGGTAATTCTCGGAGCCACCGGCGACCACTAAGTGCCATTAAATGGTATTTTTCGGAGCCAATAGCGGCCACCAGGTGCCACCAAATGGTAATTTTCGGGGCCGCCAAAGGCCACTAAGTGCCACTAAACGGCCGCTGCAGGCCGCTAAGCGGCCACTAAGTGCCGCTAAATGGTAATTCTCGGCGGTCGCGATGGTCAGTCCGAAGTTCCCAGAGAGCCCACATAAGTTTGAGATGCCTGGTCTCCTTTCTGGGACCTCTGTGGGCTTTCCTGGAGTCGTCTTTGGGACTCTAGAGTTCTTTTTGGAGCCCTCTTGGGCGTGCCAGAGGGTGGCTTTGGGGGCCCTGAGGGCCTTGATAGTGTGTTGATGAGCTCGTACCCCCAGCCCTACCCTTCTGACGGTATTTTGGACCTTGCGGGAGGGGGGAACAAGGGGAGGGACAGCCACATGTCCCACACGTTCTTTTTACCCCCGGCAAGCGAGGGACGGCGGATTCTGATAGTTATTTGATGTTTCTGGAGGTCTTCGGAGGTTTCTTGATATATATATATATATATATATATATATAGAGAGAGAGAGAGAGAGAGAGAGAGAGAGAGAGAGAAAGAGAGAGAGAGAGAGAGTGAGAGGGAGAGAAAGAGAGAAAGGGAGGAGAGAGAGAGAGAGGGAGGGAGGGGAGGGAGACAAAGAGGGAGGGAGGGAGAGAGGGAGAAGGGGGGAGGGGGGAGCCTGTTCCCTCACCGCAGGGGTAGCGTCAGCGCTAACCCGGACATCCACAGGGCCCTTGCCACCATGAGGGAGATCAAGGCGCTGCGGGGGGAGGTTTAGGACGAGGACCAGGAGCAGGAAGAGGGAGGAGGATCGGCTGGTCGGCCTTCCCCTGGGGTATCCCCCCCCCCCCCCCCCCCAAATCGTGGCGGCCGCGAGTAAGCCACTCTCAGAAGAGCCCTCCCCCCGCAGGATTGGTATTAGGGGGGGGAGCGAGGGCTCTGCGGGTCACAGACCGAGACAGCCCGCAGCAGCAGGAGGGATCAGCAGGGGATTGGGTACCCTGGGTGGGGTATTCATCGAGGGGTGGGCGACTAGTCTTCCGACGGAGCTTGCCCATACCCCCTCCCCTCTTCCTCCTCCTCCTCCTCTCCTACTCCTCTTCTTCTCCTCCTTCTCCTCCTCTTCTCCTCCTCCTCCTCCTCCTCCTTCTCCTCCCCCTCCTCCTTCGCCTCCCCCTCCTCCAACCCCTCCTCCACCCGTTCCGACAGCGCGTGCCCAACCCCCATCGGATCCAAGGGGGGGGGGGGGGGCGATTATTGCCCCATCCAGAGTACAGGACATAGACAACAGATTCGAACCCTCGCACGCTTGAGGGGGGGATGCTCATCAACTCCTCGGGGCACCCGAAAGCAATGCTGAGTTTAGTGTGGGTGGTGGTTTGGAGGTTCGAGTGTTTCTGTCCACCCTTTTTCCATCCCCCCGCGACGCCGCCCTCGTCTTCTTCCTCCCACTTGCACGCCGGACAGTTAGCCTTTCGATTGCCCCGAATAGCCATACGCTGGAGCGGACTGCCTCTGCCTCGCCGCCGACGAAGAACAGTTTCTGTCCACCCATGCCCTCTCCATTGCCGCACCCGCATTATCAATGTTGAGGGTCCGCGGGGGTATTTTGTGCTGCAGGGCTCGAACTTATTGTCCATGTACGGCGTTCCTTCTTCCCCCGCCCCCCTGTGAGATCTCGTGCCCACCTCGGCTGAGGGAGACCGTGCGCGCGCGGGCGCAGCCTTGTCAGCGCGCGCTGCCAGTGGCGGGGCGCCGCGCGAGGCCGATCATCGGTCAGAGACCGGGGAATCGAAGAAGAGAAAGCGCCATAAACATAAACTTGTGGCGCTCCGCGCGGATTTCTTGGATCCGCGCTGGGCCCCCCAGCGGCGCCTCCGGCGCCGCACCAGGCGCGCACCGCGCGCCAGGGAGGGGGGTCCGCGGTTCGATCGGGTCGATGGTGTGTGTGTGTATGTGTGAGTGTGTGCGTGTAGACGCGCGCGCGCGGCTGCTGTCCTACGATTTTCTCCGCCCTATCGCTGCGCGCAGAGCCGCAACGCCAGAACGTGTGTGTATGTATGTGTGTGTGTGTCTGTGTGTGTATGTCTGTGTGTCTGTGTGTGTGTGCATGCGTGCGTTCGTGCGTGCGTGCGTGCGTGGATGTGTGTTTGTGTGTGTTTGTGTGTGTTTGTGTGTGTGTGCGTGGCGATGCCTGCACGCGGCGGTTCTCAACCTTCCCCCATGTAAGATTTCATGCCCATTTGGATGGGAGACCGTGCGCGCGCGGGCGCTGCTTGTTAGCGTGCGTGGCGAGGGAGACGCCGCGCGGGGCGGTCGTCAGTCAGAACGACGACAGGGTTGCCCGCGAAACCGATCGAATCGATGGCGCGCGCGTGTGTGTGTGTGTGCGCGTGTGCGTGCGTGTGTGTGTGTGTGTTTGTGTGTGTGTGTGTTTGTGCGCGTGTGTGTGTGTGTTTGTATGTGTGTGTGTGTGTGTGTGCGCGCCTTCCGCCTCCAGCTCGCACTGGACCTGTCCCTCCCATGGGCGCCTGCCCTGGCGGACACCATTGCTGCTTACCCACCCGGCTGCTGTCCCGTTGCAGCTGCTGGCCCCCAGCCCCGCCCCCACCCCCCGCCGCCTGGTCCCGCTCTGAGCGGGCCCGCTTCCGTCTCCCTCCCAGCGCCGGTCCTTCTTCTTTTTCCCAACCATCCTGTGGTGTTGGGTCCTCATTTTGAAGAGAGAGCGCCCCGCGTCCCACTCCTTCCTCCTCCCGCTGCTTCCTCCCCCTCCTCCCTCCTCCCTCCCATTTCGGCACACCCCTCACACGTTTCGTGGCCCCACAGGGAGCTCCACCGAAGGTCCCAGTGGGTGTGCCCGCATGCGTCCCGCACACCCCTTTCGGCACACCCCTCACACGTTTCGTGGCCCCATTAAGGGGCTCCACCGAAGGTCCCAGTAGGTGTGCCCGCATGCGTCCCGCACGCCCATTTCGGCACACCCCTCACACGCTTCGTGGCCCCATTAAGGGGCTCCACCGAAGGCCCCAGTGGGTGTGCCCGCATGCGTCCCGCACACCCGTTTCGACACACCCCTCACACGCTTCGTGGCCCCATAGGGAGCTCCACCGAAGGCCCCAGTGGGTGTGCCCGCATGCGTCCCCCACACCCATTTCGGCACACCCCTCACACGCTTTTCGGGCCCCATTGGGAGCTCCACCGAAGGTCCCAGTGGGTGTGCCCGCATGCGTCCCGCGCACCCCTTTCGGCACACCCCTCACACGTTTCGTGGCCCCATAAGGAGCTCCATCGAAGGTTCCAGTAGGTGTGCCCGCATGCGTCCCGCACGCCCATTTCGGCACACCCTTCACACGCTTCGTGGCCCCATGAAGGGGCTCCACCGAAGGCCCCAGTGGGTGTGCCCGCATGCGTCCCGCACACCCATTTCGGCACACCCCTCACACGCTTCGTGGCCCCATTAAGGGGCTCCACCGAAGGTCCCAGTGGGTGTGCCCGCATGCGTCCCGCACGCCCATTTCGACACACCCCTCACACGCTTCGTGGCCCCATAGGGAGTTCCACCGAAGGCCGCAGTGGGTGTGCCCGCATGCGTCCCGCACACACATTTCGGCACACCCTTCACACGTTTCGTGGCCCTATAGAGAGCTCCACCGAAGGTCCCAGTGGGTGTGCCCGCATGCGTCCCGCACACAAATTTCGGGACACCCTTCACACGTTTCGTGGCCCCATAGGGAGTTCCACCGAAGGTCCCAGTGGGTGTGCCCTCATGCGTCCCGCACGCACATTTCGGCACACCCCTCACACGCTTCGTGGCCCCATAGAGGGGTTCCACCGAAGGCCCCAGTGCCGCCGCCCGCATGCGTCCCGCACACCCATTTCGGCACACCCCTCACACGTTTCGTGGCCCCATTGGGAGCTCCACCGAAGGTCCCAGTGGGTGTGCCCGCACGGTCCCGCACACCCATCGGAGTTCTCCAGCTCACGAAGGTCCCCAGTTGGGTGGCCGCATGCGTCCGCACACCATTCGGCACACCCCTCACACGTTTCGTGGCCCACAGGGAGCTCCACCGAAGGTCCAGTGGGGTGCCGCATGCGTCGCACACCATTCGACACACCCTCACACGCTCGTGGCCATTGGGCTCCACGAAGGTCCCCTTGGGGTGCCCGCATGGTCCCGCGCACCCCTTCGGCACCCCTCACACGTTTCGGCCATAAGGATCTCCATCGAAGGTTCCAGTAGGTGTGCCCGCATGCGTCCCGCACGCCCATTTCGGTACACCCCTCACGCGCTTCGTGGCCCCATAAGGAGCTCCACCGAAGGTCCCCGTGGCGCAGTCCGCATGCGTCTCCCCCACCCAGTGCACCTCCGTCGGAGGCCGTCGGAGTTCCGCGCCTCGCTCGCCCGTCGTCGCTCTGCCCAGCGGCAAAGAGCCTTGCCCGCTATCAGCCAGCCAGCTAGCTCTTTTTGCTGCGCGCAGCGGACGACCCGCGCGCGTCGCTGCGACCCCTCCAGGGCGACCTGCGCGCGTCGCTGGGACTCCGCGCCGCGCTGCGCCCGCAGCCTTGGACTTTTCAGTGCGCGGGCAAAGAGGGAGTAAAAGAAGGGGAGGACGCGGGCGCGATCCTCGCGGTGGCGTCGCGGCGCGCGGGCGATGCCGTCGGGGAGTCCCGGGTAAGCTCCTTGCGGCGGCCACGCCCAGCGTCACGAGTATTCGGAGGCAGTCATTCTCAAACTTTTGACATTCATATACAATTGCACCATGCTTTGTCATACTCGCATTCATTCACGTAGACTCGCTCGCGCGCATATTCATTTACAGTCAGACGCACTCGCGCTCAGATTCGCCCGCGCTCAGTCTCCCCGCGTACTCAGATCAATCGTTTTCGCTCGCGTCGTGTACCTCGCCACTCATTTCGGCACACCCCTAGCACGGTTCGTTGCCTCGTAGGGATCACCACCGAAAAAGATATTCACAATTGCGGTACTCACACCTGCAGATGGTTGGGTCCTTCGTCAGGCTCATTCCCAACCATCCCGTGTGGGGTCCTCGTTTTGAAGAGACGGTCCCCGCGTTCTCCTCCTCTTGTGCCCCCCCTTCCTCCCTACCGTCCGCATGCGTCCCGCACACCCAGTACAGCGCTTCGTAGCCCCATAGGGAGCCCCACCGAAGGTCCCAGTGTTACCGTCCGCATGCGCCCCGCACACCCAGTACAACGTTTCGTGGCCCCATAGGGAGCCCCAACAAAGGTCCCAGTGCTACCGTCCGCATGCGTCCCGCACACCCAGTACAGCGTTTCGTGCCCCTCCTCCCCCTCTTCCTTGCGTTTCACCCACCCAGTACAGCGTTTCGTGGCCCCATCGGGAACCCCACCGGTGATCCCATTGCTACCGTCTGCATGCGTCCCGCACACACACACACACACACGCACACACACACACACACACACACACACACACACACACACACACACACACACACACACACACACACACACAACAGCGACTCGAGGCCTAAGGGAGCCCCACCGAAGGTCCCAGCGTTACCTTCGCATGCGCCCCGCACACCCAGTAGTAAGCGTTTCGTAGGCCCGCCCCTTCCCTGCGTTTCATCCTCATCCAATACAGCGGGAGCTCCACCGAAGTCCATGTATACTTCATTACTTCGCCACCCCCGCACCCGCGCGCCAATACCGCGTTTCGTGGCCTCCCCTCTTTCCTCTTGCTCGCACCTACCCAGTATATCGCTTCTTTTCACT